CCTGGTGGCTTGTTGAGACACATGGGGAAACCTCTGCATTTTCTGCTATTCCCTATCGTAGGTCTTCTGCACCAGACTATTTCAACGCTTTAAAAATAATAATAATATAGAGAAAAAATAATAAAAAAGCCTAACTAGACTCCCTTTTAAAAAGGATCTGACTGGCTAATGAAGGAAATTGAACAAGTTCTACTGGTATCAGGGCTAAAATACCACTTATGCTGATGATTATAAAGACTTCAACTTTTACTGTTGTGTCTGGTCAAACTGTCCTTAAATCAAAATAACCTCAGCCTTTTTAAAATCTTTTTGGCAAATTCAGTTTTAGATGCATGTGTCTTCAAATGCCTTTATCAATGGCATTCACAGAATTGATCTCCTGTAGCACTCGCTGACAAAAGCCCTAAACTAGTGTATTGTAGGCATGAGGAACTTGCTTTGCCTCTTTCAAGTCAGTATGAAGGACACTGGTGAGGAAGCGCATAAACTTCTATGTATTTTATTTTTGCTAGATACTCTTTCTTCGCTATATATACATATATTTATACTCTAATCCAGGAGGAAGATAAGAAGGTGAGAAAGTGCAGTGGAGAGAGCTATACTCCCCACTTTATTTCTCTTTTTGTTATTTTTCTAAAGCATTGTGACAATTTACTTTCATTTTGAAATCCTTCATAACTACATGTAGTAGGTACTGGCTGGCATGTCCAGTTAATGGAACATAACATAATTTCAAGTCCAGAGAATTTAGGGTTTCATGCCTATGAATTTTCAGTTTGTCTACATGTAAGGTGCTGAGAGCAAAATTTAACTCTAAACCTCCCAACTGACTTGCATTTAAAACCCTCAAACTAATTTATGAGACTGTCTTTTTTCTCAATGCATCCAAAAAGTGCCTAGATTACATATGAATGCTTTTTGAAAAAACAAACAAACAAACAAAAAAAAAACCCTGCATTTGGATTGTTGGCTGCAGATGAATACTTTGACCAAGTGAGCACTTAAAAGTCACTGAAATTTCTCTCAGGAAATATTTGTAGTGTACATTATCATAATATCCCATCACAGAAAAATGAAATGAACAAACGAACAAACTAACAAACAAAACAAACAAACAAATAAAATAAAATAAAATAAAATAAAATAAAATAAAATAAAATAAAATAAAATAAAATAAAATAAAATAAAATAAAATAAAATAAAATAAAATAAAATAAACAGTATTTCAGAGCAGCAGAGGAAAGCACTCTGTTCCAATGTGTTAGTCAGAGAGAATTAAATGCTATGTCTTAGTTCTTGGCATGTACCAAGATTGTTCCCAAAACCTCATCTTGTTGGAAAATTCTTTTAAGATGTCAAACACATTTACTCAATAAAGAAAGGGGAAATTTCTTCTGATTTTCCTCACAGGACCATTTGTAACAGTTTTTCACCGAATCACAGCATGGCTGAGGCTGGAAGGGACCTCAGGAGGCCATCTAGTCTACCCCCTCTGCTCAAGCAGGGCCACCCAGAGCAGGTTGCCCAGGACCATGTTCAGCTGGCTTTTGAAGATCTCCAAGGAGGGAAACTCCTCAGCCTTTCTGGGCAACCCATGTCAGTGCTCCATCACCCACACAGTAAAGAAGTGCTTCCTGGTGTTCAGAGGAAACTTCTGGTGTTCCTGCCTTTCATCCTGGCACTGGGCACCACTGAAAAGAGCCTGGATCTGTCCTCTCTGCACTCTCCCTTCAAATATTTATAGACATTGATAAGATTGCCCCTGGGCCTTCTCTTCTCCGAGCTGAACAGTCCTAGCTTTATCTCAGCCTCTCCTCACAGGAGAGGTGCTCCAGTCCCTTGATACTTTCAGTGGCTCTCTGCTGGCTTCTCTCCAGTAGCTTCATGTCTCTCTTGTGCTGGGGAGCCCAGAACTGGACACAGCACTACAGTTGCAGCCTCACCAACACTGAGCAGAGGGGGAGGATCACCTCTTTTGACCTGCTGGCAATACTTTTGCCAAATGCAGCCAAGAATACTACTAGAATGTCTGTGTGGCAAGGACATGCTCTTCAACTTTGTGTCCACCAGGACCTCCAGGGCCTTCTCTTTCAAGCTGCTTTCCAGCTGGGTAGCTCCCTGCATATACTGATGCTTGGAGTTGTCCTTCCCTGGGTGCAGGACTGTGCACTTCTTGTTGAACATGAGGTCCCTGTCAGCCCATTTCTCCAGACTGTCAAGGTCCCTCTGGATGGCAGCAGGGCACTCTGGTGAGTCAGCCACCCCCCAGCTTCCATGTCATCTGCAAAGTAGATTAAGTAGAATATTTTGAAGTAAAATCTCTGGGCAGCTGGAATATGACATTATTACTGCTTCTGATCATGTATTTAGGATTGCTTCTGAAGACACTCCAGTATATAGGGACTATGTGTAAGGTGTAAGGCAGAAGGTGGTTATTCACAAAACAAAAACCCACTTGGCAATCAACATGAAAAGCAGAAAATTGTAGCAATTCATGGGTAAATTTCTCTTTACAAATCCTCTCATCCCATCTTTGACAATGATTGCAGTGAAAATAGAAAGTCATGACCAGTTAGATTAGAAACAACGAGAGGATTCAGGTCCTCCACATGCACCTGATGGAGTACTTCAGAGTGCCAAGGAGAGACCGATCCCAAAACAGTGCACCACTGCTATTTCTATCTTTTGAGTAAGCATGAAAATAGTTGTGGAAAGAAAGAAAAGGAGCGATGTGCATTATTCTAAATATATATTTTAAAATGCTGTATGCACTTTGGCTTAGTGTTTGATTTGAATATATCACTTTAAGCCATCAAAGGCTGTTAAAAGTGAAGCAAACAGAGACTAGGCGTTACACTGTAGAAACATTTATGTTGGAAATAACTCTTTGCCTGTTGCCAGTAGGCTTAAAGTTTATTCTCTCTAAGCCAAGTTTAGGATCAAAACTTGTAGTTACACTCTAAAGTATACGTTAAACAATTAACTTGGCAGGAAGAAGAGAAAGCAGAGGGTAAAGGGGGATGAAAGTGGTGTGTCCTACCTGCGGCTGATAGACAGAAAGCATACCACAGCAACACTATCTACCCTGGTATTCCAGAAATGGAGACAGCTGGACATGTTTTCTGGCTGTTTGCTCTTGTTCTCTGCTTAAAATAGCTGCTCATTTGAGCTTATTTTGAGCTGCTCGCTGAGGCCTGTGTAGCTGTGGTATAATCTTATTACCATGGATCCAACTCTTAGCTGGCTCACTTGTCCCATTTCTTAGCGAGGCTGAATTGTTGCAGGCTATGCTGTACATGGGGTCATGAAGATATTTGTAGTATAACCATGGAACTTTAGGGCAACAAAATTACAACAGTTTATCAAGTTTCCACCTATTAAGTTTTAATTAAGTTGTAATAAATCGTGTGCCCTTAATTTTTACTGCACAATTACTTTAAATTTCCATCACCTTAATTAGGCTCTACAGTGCAAAAAGGCTACGCAGCTTTTCTTCATCTTTGCCCATGCAATGACTTTGGTTTGTATTGAAGCATGCTCCAGTGAAACTATTTGCCTTTTAATCTTAGGGAGCATGGTTAAGAGTGTGAACTACCTCAGAGCTTTAAAGGTTTCTCTTTGTAGTATCAGAAGGGGATAATTTTCTGATTAGAATATTTTACACATGCAAGAAAAAGCTGAAGGCTGTGGGATAGCTTAATTTACCAAATAAATAATAAATAAATAAATAAATAAAATAAAAATAAAAGACGGGGAGTGTTGTACTTTATAACTACGAACAAATAGATACTAATTAGTAGTATTTTTGACTAAATCAAAAACTTGAGAAAAAAAAAGGAAAGGAATGCCGGGAAGAGAACACTGTGTAGTCAGAGACTCTAAAGAAAAATCTGTACTTTCCCAGGGAAAACAGCAGTCATCTATGACCTTCTGTGGAAGCTCTTAAGGCTGGAAGCGGAGAGGAAGTGAGTGTCTAGGAAGAAGGCTTGAGTCATTTCATATGTTCCTGCTCTTCACACCAGATTGAGAAAACCTAGTACTAGCTTGAGTAAGATGTGAGACCCAGCTGCTAGTAACAAGTGATGGGTTAGCACTGAAAGGTTGCAAGAGCTGGCAACTTTCAAGGTAGGTGTAGCTTTGCAAATATGACAGCTTGTAGAGCATCTATTTTAGAAGACCAGGCTTCTACAATCTCTACCCACGTGTGTAAGCACCAGGTTTTCCAAATTACTTTTCTTCCATGTTGTACACGAGATACCTGCACCAGAAAAAAACACTAGTAATTACCAGGGATGAAAACATTAACAGGTAGGAAAACCTTTGCAATTAGAACTGCTTTTCACCAAATATATAAAACTGAAGAAAAATAAGAAAACAGTAGTTCACAAAATTAATAGAACTGTGAAGAATATGGAGCTGATACTTAAAAAATAATATATATATATATAAAGATAAAATAAAAACATAATTTGGCACTAGGAATGACTTAAAAGCAATCTCAGTTTACTGAAACACAATATAATCAATTCTCTTGCAGAATTTGTTAGCAGCAGGATGGCCTGTTTTGCTTTATGCACATTTCTTAGCTTAGGAGGACATCAAAAATCTCAGTTTCCCACTGGGAAATGCATTCAGTGCACTATGGAATGCATCTGAACTTCAGGACCTTGAGATTGCGTAGTTCGGTATAAGGATCACTTCTGCAAGTGGAGAGTAACAGCAATCTAAACTGAAATACCTGCATTAAGACAGGCTATTCAGTACCCAAAGTAAAATAGAAATGCATCAAAAAGTATTTTTGGATTGCATTTCATTTTTTCATTTTGTTGCTAATGTGAAGAATGAGCTACTGTTGCTTGAGTAGTAGTCTTTTCTGGTCTCAGCAAGTTCCACAAGGGACCTAAACCAGTTACATATGTTCAAGTACACACTGCAAGTAAAAATTGCAAAAACAGCCAAGTCTGAGAATCCTGGAATTATACACAAGGACAGGCAAATGCTAACAGGTCAAAGGCACATTTATTTGGTGACCATAAAAAGAAATACGATTTGCAGATTTACAGTTTGTTTCCTGAATTCACAGTTTGCCAAGTTAGCAGCAAATAAATTGTAGACCCAGTGGAATACCATGCATCTCTAGGAAATTTGACCTTTCCCAGTGCTAGAAAGCAAAAACTCTTTCCAAATTTTAGTAAGATTGCATTTAATATAAAAGTACTTTTAAAAGAAAGATATGGAATTACCACTATTTTCAAGGTGCACATTTGGAAGTATGAAATATTCATCTGAGACTGCATCGTGGCCAGAATTGTCACCTACCTGCTGGTAAAAACCTGGGCATTTATTTATTTATTTAAAATAATCTAGGTTTCAAAAGCCACTTACTCACTGAACTTGCATTTCACTGTCAGGAGACAAACAGATAGAAAAAATGATGTTTACTGCCTCTACTTTTTTTGAGAAACTCATCCACTGGGATGGAAAATTCTTATTATTGCTGCTTAAATCTGACTCAGCAAGGTATCAAATTCTAACAGTGAAAATTCTTACTAATCAGAAGAAAAGGCTGAGGATTTTGATATTACTTAAGAGTTTCCTCCTGTTCCCTCTCTATTTGGCATTTAAAGATGATGAATATCATCAGTTAGCACAAAAAGATGAGAATGAGCAGAGACATAGAAAGAATGGACAATTTTTTTAATTAGGTATAAAACATCACTTTACTAAAGACGAGTACTACAACCACGTGATCAAAATTGCTTGTTACTGGCCTCCTGTCTTCAGTATGACGCATTCAATGAATTTTTGTGTATTACCACTTACCTACCAAGTGATAATAACGGGGTTAGATCAGGCGTTTCAAATGAAAACTGTTCCAACACAAACGTGCCTCAGAAATAACTCAATGGACTGATTTGCTTTTTAATTAGCAACTATATCAAGAGTGGTTTCAACAGTAAAAATGATTTTTAAAAACACAGATTTTTAAAATGATCTACAGTGTCAACCTACAAGAAGAAATTGGAGTAATAGTTTTAGAATACATTTAGACTTTTCAGTACATAATTTTCCTTGGCTACAACTTCGGAAACATCTGTGAAAGTAGTTAATTATTTTTTCTTTATTCACAGGATCAGGATGACTAATCAGGAATTAGTAGCAAGCATCAGATTTACAAAGTAAATTCCTAATAGGAAAGGATCAATTTGAATTCTGTATGTATTCTTGTTTGATTCAGCAATTTTTTAAGTCTGCAAATATTTAGGACTCTCATTATTATTTTTTTTATACAAGTACTTGTCAGTTTGTGTAACAAACTTCTCCTTGGATTAAAAACATTTAAATCCAATTTTCACATATGCAGAGTGCAGGACTAATTTAAGCAATCCAGCCACATGAAAAAATCTAATGCTCTTTACTTGAATTAAAGATGTCTTTCTTTGCAGAGCCAGAAATCAAGAAGTATACTTTTTAAGGCACAAGCTCTAAACAGTATTCTATCAGAGATTTCCTTTTGCATCCCCAACTTTTAAAAATGGTGAAAGAGTCCATTTTAACCATTAACTGCTAGCATTTTAAGTTGGTCCAAATACAGTATGCTTTAACAGGATTTTGACAGCACAGTTCTTATGCTAACATGCTCCCCCAAGTACACACACAAAAGACAGGCTACTTGTTTTCCATATCTGGGAGCAGTGTTCCTTGGGAATGGGACTCTATCTTAACACACCATTTAGTACCTGTGACTATACCTTGTTGTGACTCAGCTGTTCTTTCTAACTTCTCCAGAGGCCCCCAGACCTCTAGCAGGAACTAATAACAATACCTGTCTGCTTTCTGAAGACTCTTCCTGGCTAAGTAAAAGCCAATACCACTCTCAGGGTATGAAGAGCAGCATCAGGAGGAAAAAAAAAAAAAAAAAAAGAAAAAAGGAAAGAAAAAAAAAAGCCCTCTCTTTTCGCATTAAATGTAATTTACTTGACAGGTAATGAATGCTGATCATTTTTTTTAATCTGAATTTTACAAGAGATTGTGAGTTTGCAGCACAGCCCATGCATTTTACCGTTCTCCTGGATAGTTAATAATAGAAACTAAATCAAGAATAGCAAGCAGAAGACAGACATAAGCATTTTTAGTATGTTTTGTGTCATTAACTTTGAAGAAAGACTGCACATTATTTAGAACCTTTTTTTTTTCAGTACATTCCAAAACACATTTGGGGAACTCAAATGTTATCTGATACTTAAGAAAATATAACAGAACACAACATGCTTTTACATATATAGCTCTGCACCATAACCGGGTAATAAGTAACAATTCATGTAATAAGTGATATTCCTGATCTTCAAGTTATTTACTTTCACTGTTTTCCTTTTCCTCCTCAAAATCAAAATATAAGGATTTGTCATAGCCCATGAGACGGTTAAAATCCTCAGGATTCTGGAAAAGCAGCGGATTAACAAGCATTGATTTAGTTTTAGCATAAAACGTTGTAAACATCTTGGTGATGTCTGGAATCTTCACATCTTTCTGCTGGAAGACAGTCACTTTCTCTGTCAAGATTGCATTGTACGTAATAGCTGTATAGGTGTCCATTTCCTCCTTATAATAGAGTCGAATCACATAGCCTTTTGTAAGGATATGCAAAGTGACTGGTGTTACAAATGTAAAAAACCCTATCAACCCATAAAATGCAGCTTGTATAAGCAGGCTATCAAATCCAATGCCAGTTTTGAGCATGATGTAGGGCACCATGAACAGGTTGAATATGCTGGTGGAGTAAGAGAAAAACCTCACACCTACATAAAACAAGAAGAGAAAACCAAGGTTAATACTTAGAAGTAAAATCATCTCTATAATTGCACGTGGTCTGCTACTATAAATTTATGTCATTACATGAATAAATAAAGTTATTGAAAATCTACTTTTTAAAAAAAACTCTCCAATACAAAAAGCCATTACAAAGAACCAGGAAACTCAGTACTCTCTTCCTTCTACTGTTATGGTTCGTATATACATTCACACTGGGTTTATCAAAGCTAGCAGCTGGCTCCATTTCTACGATGAACTCAGAAATTCTGTGATTCTTTGATTATGCAATTAGGCACAAGTATGAAGTTTTCACTTCACAAGCAGGAGTAATCACCACAGATATGGCCAGGCATTTCTCCCTTTCCCAACAGTCAAAGCAGACATTCAGTGGGCTTTACAGAGAAAAGTTTGATTGGTCCCCCCACTATGTTGAAAGCTGAAAAATCTAGGTTAATCAATACTAGTACTCCACATAATAATAATAATAATAATACAAGTACTCCACAGCCATCTTTGCATACAGCTTAGAAGACCATAACCATTGCTGTGCGTCACCCCCAGTCCTTGTGCCTACTTCATAGGCATTTCAGTAACATTCAGAAGCATACAGAACGCAAATATCAGGTCTCTGTTTGCTCCTGGGTTGAGAAATGCACTCCACAGGCTGCAAGAGAAAAAGACGCAGGCTGAAGGATTACGGAGTTGCACTGTACCATTATAACTCCCTGCAGACCTAAAACTAATTAGAATATAGAAAAATTGTTAACATTAATCATTACACTGTACAGAAGCATAAAATCAAGCAACACAACAAGATATTTTTTTTTGATGTACTCAAAAATTGGGTTTTAGCAGAGATGGAAAGAAGAACATTCAGTTTTATAACGTTGAATTTTAAAGTTATTTAAAGAAAGAGTAAATCTCTTCAAGTGACATACCTAACACCGCCTTTGCCAAGTTTCCTTTATAAAGTAATCTTCCATGCTCCGGGTGGTCAGCAGGGGCGGATGTGCTGAGGCTGCGAACAGCCAGCGCTTGAAAAGACGTAACCTGGAAGAGGAGAGCAAGCAGCATCAGTACCAATCCACTTCACAACGGTTTCTCCTTGTCCTGAAGCCACCCCCAGGGCATCCTGAACGAGGAATTACAGTCAGGGTATAGGCCACGAGGCACGCAGAAATTCCAAATAACGTATCGATTGGCTATTTTCACGATATCCCAACTAGTTATTCCAAAGCAGCGCTGGATATCGACACAGCGATGTGCAAACGTTACACTTGCTTTGGGGAGGCCTCCCAAACCCGTAACCCTCCAAGCCCCGCTGCACGACCTCCCCCCCACCCCCTCCCCTCCCCTACCTGCCACCCCCCCGCGCTGTCCCGGCGGCGGCAGGCGGCGGGCAGCCCTCTGTGCGCGGCGGCCCCCCGCAGCCAGGCGGGGCCGGAGGCTGCCCTGCGGCAGCAGGCGGCGGCTCGGAGCAGCAGCATGGCGGCGGGCCCCGCGTTCAGCCCCCCACAGCAGGCCGGCACCGCCCGGCACCCGCGGAGGACACAACGCAAAGCCGGCCCGCTCCTAACATGGCGGCCGCCCCCCGGCCCCCACGGGAAACTACATCCCCCAGCGTGCCTTGCGCGCCGCCGCGCGGCCTCGCTCCTGTTCCAAGGGCAGGGCGCTGGGGAGGGGGGGGGGAGCGGAAGTTGCGCCGTGCCCTGGCGGAAGCGCTCGGCCCGAGGCGGCGGGGGCCCTGCGAGCGGGGCGGAGGGAGCGGCGCCGACGGGTGAGGGGGCGGCGGGGCCGGGGGGAGCCCGCGGGGCCCTCCCGGAGCTCGGGGGCAGGGCCCCGGCCTCCGGCGGGTCCCTCCCGGTGCTGGGGTGAGGGGGAGGCGAGGGCTGGAGGCCGGGGGGAGCCTCCCGGAGGGGTGAGGGCCGCCGCCGGGGGGGGGCCTGTTGTCGGTGGCCGCTTCCCGGTGGCCGTTTCCCGGCTCCTCTCAGCGCTCGTTGGGAGGGGATGGGGCTGCCAGGAGAGGGGGGTGTCCGTGGGTGTGGGTACAGGCGTGGGGAGGGACGGGGTGACACCAGCAGGCTCCTGGCAGCCGGCGTTATCTTATAAGGCGCAGCGCTGCCTGAAGGGGCTTCAGGGCAGGTGCTCGGTGTCGCAGGTCGTGATATTAAGCCAGCCCTGCGCGATAGGGAAGCCCTAAATAGTCGTGGGCTTTCTGTTTACTCTGCTTCGCCGTGGGTCGCTCGCAAAAGTTCAGTTTGGAAGGAGGCCAGGAAAATGTAAGTAGCAGACAGCTGAGGCACCTTCGGAGCAAGAGCAGCTTTGTGCCCATGTTTGTGAATATCCCCTTCCGTGCGCGAGTTTCCTCTTTTTGACATACTAAAAACAAAAACACTGCTGGGAGCAAAATGCTGTTCATTAAATCAAGAGTTACTTAGAAGAGAATAAGCGCTAGTTTTTCCCTAATACATCTGGGGATCAGCTGTCCGGTGTTTTGAAGAAGTGTTACTAATTTTTTCCCTAAGATTTGCCATCAACACTGGGAAGCTTAACACAGATAACCTTTACACACTGTAAAAACTTTTGGCAGTTTTCTCTTGTTAATTCAGAGAAAAGTCATTTGAGATTTATTTTTTGTTCATGCTAGAATGGGTGATGAACAGATTTAGCTACTTTCTTGCGGTCTTAATGTAAAGACTTAATGCTGGTACGGTGAGGAGATCCAGATGATTCTCTATTGAGATGATTCTTCTTCTGTCTCCCACCTTCTTATTTATTCTTCTGATATATTTGTCTTCATGCTTACGTCCCTTATGCTGTGCGTGTGGACAAACTGATACCTTCAAAAAACTTAATTAGCTTCAGATTAAGCATTTTTGTAATTCTGAAATAAAGGAATTTGGATGTAAGACAACTTTTTGTTTATGTGGAAGGGTTCAGAATTCGGTCATCTTTGTTATAGGGTAGTTTGCATAACAGTAGGTTTTGATGAATGTTTATAATGAAAGGGCAGAGATCTGTGCCCTATAAAGAAAAAAAATGGAATATGCTATCAGGTTGTTATCCCTCCCAATAACAAGAGGTATACAGTAATCAGGACTTCTATTGTATGTTAGGAAGAAAACAATAACCCTTTTTTTTTTTTTTTTTCCTTTTTTGGGAATCACTGGAAAGTTTTATTTGATAAGGGATATCTTAAATAAAGTGAGGTCTTTGATACTCCATGCACAGACAGCATCCTAGCTCATCTTCTGCTTGTCTGAACTAGCATTCACCTTTAGTGCACCTCTTGTCAGTTTGTCCCTCAATGGTGGAACTAGAGTGTACAAGCATGGGATGGTGAACCAGCTGATTGGGAAATCGCCGTGTACCAATTTTCTTTCATGGTTTTTCTAGGTATGCTTCAATCCTTATTTACACTAATGTTTTTTTGGTGTGTCCTGCGTGAGTGCTAAACTGAAGAGCTCTATTTTTAAACTAAATAGTGTATAGGATCCAGAATAAGACCAGAGTTTAGGATTAAACAGTAAGGGACTATTGTTCTAGCACACAAGAGCTTTTGTTTACTGAAGAACTCTTCCTGATATACAAATGACACCCAGAAAATTTCACATTAGATTTCTCAACTAACTCAAGAATTGTGAAGGCATTTGTGTTATCTGCCCTGCACTTTCCAAAAAGTTGATCATGTCGAATGCAGAAATGGCACCAACTGAAGCATACAAAAGCCCTGCGTGCTGCATTGCACAGCAAAGAACTGGAAGTTACCCTGCACCAGAGTGTGAGGTTTAGAGTTCTCTGTGGGAACAAAGAATCTGAGTGCTTTCAAGTGTTTGTGTCCATTTAAGCTTCTTGTGCCAGCTGGACTAAAATGTTGGGGTTCTGGAATCTGTACAGTGTTTGCACGTGTCCAGCTGAAATAGTGTATGTCCATCAAGTGCTTTCCAGTCTTGTAGATACACCAGGTACACTTGTATAGGTACTCTGAAAATTGTGGGAAGCCTGGGAGATGCGTGTGCATCTTTGGCAGTAAGCTAGGCAGGTCATGGATGTATTTTTTGTTGTTTTTCTTGCACTTGATGCTTCAAGAGAAACAGGAGAGAGAAGTCAAACTGTGCTGTACTGTACTATTTCTGCTTGGGGTTATGAGGAGGACAAGAACGTATTTAAACATGCTAACAAGAACGCTTGCCTTGTGTTGTTTAGCTATCGTGGTTTATGGTACTTAGCTATATTCTACCCCAAGGTGTAAATCATCTGCTGTTCCCACAAACTTTTCTGTAAGCTTCTGAAGCACTGAATTAACTGAAGAAAACAGGCTGTGGCGTGCGTGGGATTAAATTAGTATCATTTCGGATAACTTGGGTGTAGTTGTTGGAAAGAAGATGGTTTTCACAAAATCATTTCAAGCAGCAGGATGTTCAAACTTTCACAATGTGTCCTGACACATGGAACACTTCTTAATGCGGAAGAGAACTGATAGATGTTAACAGTTTGTTATTGCTTTTTTAGCTTTTCCAGGTTTCCTGTTTTCCTCTTTCTCTGATCTCTTTTTGCATTGACGCTATGATCTTTCCATGCCCTTTGCTTACCATATTTTGTCAGAAGTAAATCTGAACTGCTAACATTATCCACAGTTATATTTTTCAGAAATGATACTTTGTGTCAGGATAACTAGCAATAGGACTACAGGGAAAGGCCTCAAGTTGCACCAGGGGAGGTTCAGGTTGGAAACCAGGAGACATTTCTTCTCAGAAAGAGCAGTCAGGTACTGGGACAGGTTGTCCAGGGAGGTGGTGGAGTCACCGTCCCTGGGGGTGTTCAAGGAAAGGTTGGACATGGTGCTTAGGGACATGGTTTAGTGGGTGACATTGGTGGTAGGGGGATGGCTGGACCAGATGATCATGGAGGGCTTTTCCAATCTTAATGACGTTGTGATAGCAAGAACAAGGCTCTGTGCCTTGCTTGCAAGTTGCATGTGTCATATAATGGAATGTATGATCTTTTTTTCTTAAAGTAGGTAGGATTTCTGCATCTTCTGCTTTTAGCAATGCAATGTTGTTTTTGTTCTGTATTCAGAACCAAACTTGGATTGTGCAGTTCTGATAGAAACTTTATTCTTTGTTAGTTTATGCTCATTTGTTAGACTTAAACTGAAGGATAATCTTGGCAATGTCTCTCCCTCTTTGTTTATCCTTTTAATGAATTGTTATATTTATCTTCATTCCAGTTTTGCTTTGCTAAGCTGAGCAAGCAAGACTTTCAATTTCTCTCTCTTTTACAGCCTCTTTGGTCATGTCAGTATCTCCTTTCTGTAGTTTTTCCAATTTGAACTTTTTTCTTGAAAACAGGTAATCAGAACTGCATGTGATACTCCAGAGAAGTTGTCACTGATGTGTGATACAACAGCATTAATGTTTCCCTGTCTCTGTTGCAAAAAGTTCCTTGATTTGCATTTGCCTCCACCCTCCCCCCCTTCCTTTTTTTTTTTTTTTTTTAAATACTTCAGAGCTGCATCAGCTTACAGCTGACCACAGAAAGACTAACACTTCCAAATGATGAGCCATGGCTATGTAAAAGAAGTCTGTTCTTACATGCAGGGCTCTTGCGTTTCATAGTTTCATTTCGTGTAGCTTCTTGTGTGCCATTTTTCAAAACCAGTCACTTTTTCGTGTGCCTTCCACTTCTGTCTCATCTAAACCTGATGTGTTTTTTTTTTTTTTTTTTTTCTGGCAACACTGTTAAAATAACAAGTTTCGTATCATTTTTGGAGGAACTAGTAGTTCTTTTGCAGTCCAAGTGTTCCACGTTTGCAACATCACATGGTATTGTTGGACAGTTTTTCTCTTTTCAAGATTATCCTGTTGCCACATTTATTTAACCCCAAACAATTTGCTTAGTCCAGATTGCATCTAATTTGCCCTCCTTTCCTGTTTTCAGGGAAATGACTGGTTTTAGGTATTAGCTAGTCCAACATGCCAACTTGTATGAAATATAAAGGCAAAGAGGATACAACTGACCACTAAGCCTGATCATGTTTTCTCCCCCCTTTAGGTGTTAATGCCTGCATTTTTTCTCTCTAATCATATGATAGCACATTTCATTTGATGTCATTAAAATGCTCACTGCTTTTTTGCCATAGCTCTAATATTTTGGTGTAGACATTGTTTTGTTTCTCAAGGTTTAATGTGCCCTCAAATCATGCTTTCACTGTGGGAAGCGTTAATGTAACTGCGTTCCCACTAACTAGCCTGACCTTCTTCCTATATTTACTGGCATTTTTTGTATTGGAAACCGAGGCACACTTTATTTTCAGCAGTGCATCCACTGGTATGGATGGCATCACTTATACTTATTCATAAAAACAAGCAGTTTCACTACTCTCTTGAAGTGTACAGAAGAGTTTTGTGGCTAGAGGAAGGGGTAGCACAAGTGATGCTCTCTTCTGTGAAATAGGAGTAACTATGTAAGGTATCTTTCTGGTCCTGAGTAACAGATACTCTTCAGGATGCTTGATTTCCATGTACAGAACCTGCTGAAACAGGTGAAAGATGTCATCAGCTGTGGTGCTGCCACTGTTCTGGCATCCGAATGTAATTTCCTCGCAGGAGTGACTGGAATTTTTG